GATTTTCTATATTCATATTGAGATAGATACATGCATATATCGCCAGCATCTTGATGCAAAAAAACTGCCAATACCGCAAAACACCACAAAGTGAAGTGGTGGTCGGCGAAGATGTTGCTACCAATGCTGAATGTTGTTTCTATGCTAAGAAATATTTGGCCTGATCTGGCGCCCCCGGCGGGCTGCGTCGACAACTTGTCATACACGGTATAAAAGTTTCGCATAAATAGCGGTCGTCGTCGTCGTCGTCGTCGTCGTTGTCGTCGTTGAGCAAACGCATATGCTCACGCATATCCAAGTGCGTCGACGATAAATGGTGCCGTAAAAGGACGTACGTATAACCGTCTATTACTACAACCCCTGTTCGATCTCTTCCTCTCGCACTGCTCTCGCCTCGGAAGTTTTCCTTCGTGTCTCGCTACACTTTACGGACTACTGCCTTTTTCCGTTGTTGTTGTATTGACCATTTGTGGCATCATCATGCAGCTTTTTAAAAGTAGAAATGCAAAAATGCACGCATGAATAGTAATCGTCCGGCAAGGATCATGCGTTTTACATGAGACATATATGTATATGCATTTGACCATTTAGTGACTAGTTTATCCGTCAAGTCTAGTAGATTGATATTAATACAAGTTGGCTGAACGCGTGAGGTCTACAAGTTTCCTGACTATTTGTACTATCAGTAAACCGTAGATGAGAAGTCTGCCGCTGGTTTTAATGTCACTACGCGGCTTCTGGTTGACGCACTGCCGATTAGCAAACACTTATTAAAAACTATCCTATGAACCTAAATCAATCCTTAGCTGCAGTTATCTTTCTCGGTTAGTTTGTTTTTGTCAGATCTGCGAAAAAGTACCAAAAATCAGACACATATATCCACGCCTGAGAGACAGTTAGATGGTCGTCATTCAGGCATTGCGAAACCAGAATTTCTCTGTTAGAGCTACCTCCCTTCAATATAAATTTCCTTTATACTACACTATTGCGTACAGCCACGTGTGCTTGCCACTGCTACTGTGATTCTATGTAACGCTTTGTTTTGTCTCCATATGAGTTAGATGTCTCTCTCTTTAGTCAGCCCGTCGTACATTTCGCTGTTCCCGACAGGCCGTTCTGTGAAAAAAAACACGAGATCGAGGGAGAGAAAGCGCGCGCGCGCGAGACAGCCACCAATTATCGAAGTCTACCCGCACGACCAGATGAACGTACTATATTTGTTCTTCTGTTTCCTTCTGACACCGTATGCCGTAGAGTCATTTAGAGATTTTTACGATAATGATCGTGCTCGTACTCGCGGCACCGCTAATGATAAAAATAGTTATATATCACGAACAGGACATAGGTCCTATGTTTGAGAAATAATTGTTTAATTAGCTTCATGCATACAGGTATTTACATGTATAGCTGGAAATAGCCGTGAATTAATTTATTTCCTAATACATTTATACTGGGCTCTTGCTTGCTAGACGGTTCCGTTCACACAGTTTACTACTGCGCCGTTTGGCGATACGCCAACTCCAATTTCTGTTTTTCTATCTATGTATTTTATGCATATGTTTTATGTGTGTTTACCTATTCGAATGGCCTCTTCTCTCTTTTTTCTTTTTTGGGCTTGTTTTTGTTGACCCACTTCTTTGGGCCAGCCGTCTATTTTTTACTCCCACAGTTGTCCTCCATCCTGTAGAAATTTCCTGCTTGTTGTAGTCGGTATCAGAACGATAAGGGATGCGTAGAACGAAAAGAAGATGGAGGAGAGAGCATTTTCTACATGTAGCGTAACGAAGTACTGCTGTACTAGAGACGTTAACGGTATGTAAAGCGACTCACTTTGCCAACTACAACAGCAGTATCATTAGCGGAGTAACTCTAGCGGCTTGAGCGCCAACTGGTTACTAGCTTTCTGGCTGGCTCTCGGTCGTACAGCGACCGAAGCACCGTTCGCGTCAATGTTGCGACACCGTGGAACAGCGGTGATGGCAGCAGCAGCACAATACAAGGCACTGAGAGAGTTTCGGGAATTGCGCTGTGAATTAGGATCGACGAGCGATTTGTGGGGACGGAGAACTTTCGGAAGGGCAGTAGCAGTGCAGGGTAGGAGAGACTCAACTCCCTAATGCGAAAAAGTAGGAAGCGTTTTGGCGTTTAAGCCGTAGGTTGAATATAGGGAATAGAATAAAGGTTTCTGACCATTGGATGAAATGGTCGGCGTGGTATGGCAGCCGTAATGGAAGAGCTTATTGTAGCAAATGTACAAGCAGCGGCAACAGTAGTAGACTGTCTTGTATAGTTGGTTTTTGACGCTCGCTCTCCAGGACAATGGCAGCAGGAAGGCGGACAGCCGGTCAGCTATCATCTGAAGCAGAGAGTCAACGAGCGAACAAGAACGCCGATGAAGGAACGCTCGTGGGGGCGCGTGCTCTTCTGTAGGGAGCTTCAACTCTCGCTAACCAAGAAGGCAAGTAAGCCAGCGAGGGTTGAGAGATAGCATTGGCAGCTCGAATCTATAACAAAGTTACAAAAGACGACCTCTCGCGTTACTTAGACCGTGGCGATGGGGGCGGCGGGGGCGATTGCAGCAACCAGCAGTCATCACCATAACCATAGCTTGCGCCATCACCGTCATCACTACTGCCAGCTGCGCTGTTACAGAAGCGCGGCCACGGTTTATGAGAGTCTTAGGAAGAGCGGTCTGTGTCTTTTGCCTCCTCGTTTCCTACTTCTGTCAGCGTTGGGAGGTGAAAAGCGTAACTCTCGGGTGAAAAAGGTGGGAGTTCGGTTGGGTTAGTGGGGGTTGGGGTGCGGGCCCGGGTAAAGGAGGATGAAGCAACCGGCGGAAAATAGGGATTGCGTTGCTTCTGTGGGTCCTTCGCTTCTCGGTCGTCGGCCCGTCCATCCACCAGTCGTCGACTGGTTGTTTGGGTGAATCGTCGCTTGTCAGTCCCCGGTCGGGTGGGACGGGTGCTCTGTGGGAGGGACTTCTGACGCCCACCCAGTTGGCGTACGTTCTGTACGAAGTGTGCAACCTTTAAGCGGCACTCTGGCGCTGTTGCTAAGGCCTGCTTCCTGTGTATTATACTTCCATGCACTACTATACCACGCTTTGTTGTCTATAGGTACTATGTCTGCCTATGCGTATATATATTAGTGTATCTAAGCTCTTTATATCTCCATATTTCTGTGTTTATGTGACTATGTGCAGGTTCATGGTGCCACCGTTGTGTGCATATATGTATTGCATTAGGAAGAACCTCTACTCATTGGAACGAGCTGGGAGTGGTTGGGATAGCGGGTGGGGAGGTGATTCGGATTCCGGTATGGAAGAGGAAAGGCCACCGTGGGCAGCAGCAGCAGCAGCAGCAGCAGCACCGGTGATGTTGCAATGTCTGCCTCCCTTACGGAGCAAACTCTGCTGCAAACGTTTCCCTCACTAAGCCTCTCAGCCTGCTACCCTAGATCAGCCCCGACTCCCCACCGCCATCGTACAACTGTGCCGTGTTTGCCTGGCTCCCATTGCCACTTCGTGACTCCACTCTGCCGCTAACTCCAACCAGCCCACGTTTCTCTATCCAACGTCTACCGTCTCTTCCTCTTTCCCTAACTCTGGATCTTACCCATAGTTTATAGACATGGTGAAGTATGCTGGTTCTGCAATAACGAGCGGCAGCCACATTAGCGGCGGTGTGACCTTGTGTCCACCACGTCCGCCCCACCCTATCCGTTAGCGCTTGAGCGCTAACTTGGTAGCAGCGGCACCTTCAGCCTCTGCCGCCATCCTCACAGTTCTTTTTTCAACGTTTGCTCGTTCGCTCATTTCTGTAGCCCGCGAGCAAGCTAGCTTGTGAGTAGCTGTAGTTGTACCAGTAGCAGCCTTGCAGGCTTTACAAAATTCAGCAGCCTCCGCTGCTGTATAATCACCCCACCCGGGTGGCCTAACCCGACAGAGCATCACATTCCGTCGCCACCCACTTCTCGGTCGAGTCGTACTCTCTCATGACAGTGCCAGCGGCGGCTATTGCCACCTCCTCTGTTGCCACGGGAGAATCAGCGGCCGCTAGCTTCACTGTCTACAATGTAGTTGAGTAGGTTCGAAAGGGAGGGAAACGGGCAGCAACAACGGAGAGTCTTAAATCGGTGGGGTACAGGCGCCGCCGCCGCCGCTCCCGCAGGAGGTGGGGAGAGACAAGGATGATCTTGCGCAAGCCAGCCAGCAACTAACAGGCAGGCTGGCTCTCTGGTCCCCGCCGCAGCCGGAGTTCTCTTCGCTCGCCACTTTGGGGTGCGGGCCGCTGGTGGCACTACTGCCAACGGCGCGAGGTTCGACAACAGCAGCAACGGGGTCGTGGACGATCCCTCCCTTTCCACCAGCCTCTGGCGGCGCGACTCGTTCGCTCGGTCTGTCGCTCGCTCGCTCGTTGGTACGGTGCTAGAGCACAAACTTTGAGACTACTGCTGACTCGAGTTCGTGATGAGGCGCCTCGGCTGTTAGTTGTATCGGTCCCTCCAGTCGACTCTTGGCTCGGGTTCGTTATAGCTCTGTTCAGCAAGCTGGTAGCATCTGTGTGATATAACTAAACAAAGATATATCGAGCCTAGCGGACTATTTGCTTTTACTTATAGAAAGACAACTTGTTATCGACCAACTCTGGCAGATAAGCAGTCGCTACTTGAGGTTGAGTTGGCACGGTCAGTCGTCACTTGGCTGGTCTTTTGGCAAAACTGATCGGTCACAACTAACTTTGTCAACTTTTAGAAACTTTTTCATTATAGTTACATTAGTGCGCATTGCAACTATGCAAGTGTTGCTAATCAGCTCATTGAAGATAGTTTCCTGTCACCTTTTGGGTGTGGCAGAAAATGACAATTGCCTGACAATTGATTCAGTACGTTGTATAACGAACAAGCACAATCTTAAATTCAGTCAACCTCTGCGGGACCGGTAGGTACGTATGAAGGTGTTAACATTTATTGACGTTACTTTATTTTCATTCGTATTGCAGGGAAAAGTCGCTTGCAAAGCAACCTCACATCAAACACAATCAGAAGCTTGGACCTTGCTTTAAGTTTACTCTGTTACCGTGTAAGTAACAATCATCGAAAGGGGCGAGCGACGTATTCCGATGTGAGTCTGTAAGTGTCGCCAGAAACGTCAACGACACAGTTATAGAGGGGTGAAAACTACCAACAGCGACAAGTGAGGTATCAGCTCGGTTCTGTTTCTACTTCAAGTGAGTACTAGCACGATGACTCGCTGAATGCTACAACATCTGCAATTTTTACGACAACAATAACTTCTCCTTCAGTTGAAATTAAACCAGCATGACGACAGTGACTCTGCCAACAACAGTGATGTTGCTCGAAAACAAGCAGGACCAGACAACGACGGCGGAGGACAATAACAGCCAGAAGTGGTGATTTTCCTAAAAAGAATCACACTAGGAGAACGGACACGTTAGCCGAGTCATTGAGTACATCAAGTCATCGCTAGACGCCAGCCGTTTGGCCCCCGCTATCACCATACCGCGTAACCCAAGGTTCTTTGGCGGGTGGTGTTCCCCGTGAGATGCTCAGAGGACATCAACAACACCATCTGACTAGCGTCCCGTCACCGCCTTCAATGGGAGCCTGCGAAGAGTCGATGGATACTAATAACAACCTGCAGAGCGCGGCAGGCACTGGGGGCGCTCGGCCCAGCCCGGGCCTGACGCAACAGTTACCGCCGCAGTTGAATCACCACCCCCCGCAGGTGGGACCCCCGCAGTTGGCGTCACACTCGCCAAGTCCGGGTGGTCACCATTCTCCCCAGCAACAGCAGCGGCAGCATCATCAACAGCAGCCACAACATCAACAACAATCGCTCGTACGGAGCAGTCACGGGCCTCATGGTCATGGATTCGGCCATGGGCACGGCCATAGTCAACTCATTGATACGAGCGCCTGCTGGAAAGACGTGTTCCTCGGCCAACGTGAGTTCTCCACATTTGACGAGTTTAGCCAGCTGTTCTCGAAGTTCGAGAAGCGGTCACGGTTCCTGTTTCGTGTCAAGAATTCGTCGAGTGTTGAGGCAGAAAATCGCCGCCGTAAAGATCAGATTGATGGTGCCATCAAGTACTCAGGACTCGTCCTGTGCTGTGTTAACTCGGAGCTCGGCCATGGAAAGCCTAACAGGTTAGTGGTTGTTAGTGGCCTATAGCTTTACTTTTAATGTGGAAGATCCTTATTGCAAGGTATGTACGTCAAATGTATGCCTTGTCAGTAAGCTCCGGCACAGTTATCCGCTGTCTAAATGTTACACTGTGTATTCAGACCATAGATAAATCAGGCAAAATCTGCGATGAGTCCTTAACGGCTAATGGCTCAACAGGTGGGCGTCTACTGCCATATAGAGTTTATTGAACAATACTGTCGCGCGATGCTAATGCCACTTCGGACGTAGGTCTCGGAACAATGCTCGCATGTATGAATGTGGTTTTACCGATGAGGTTGATCTAATGTGAATGTATGCACCCATAGGAGCTTTGGTCGGACGTACGATGAAAAGGTTTTAGTGTGTGATACTTCATTTTTGTTATCACAGTAAAATATCCACGTTACAAATCGATATTAGAAAAATGTATGGGTGTCAATGGAGTGGTAAGATGGGATGTTAGCCCGAAAACTTCGAATGACAGTTTCATCGATGTCTGTTACCAGCTGAAATTAGTATATGTACAAATATAGATATCGCATACGTGTTGAAACAACGGCACCGAAGTCGACCAGTAACACACGAGCGACTCACGACTGCAGCCTATTTTAGCTCATTTATCGGGCCATGGGAGGCAAAGCACGCAGTGCAGCTGCCGTTACATGAATCATACGTTTGTCGTATGTGTGGTTTCCTCTGTAGATATTGTGAATTTAAGTAATTCTTGTAAGTAAGTAAGTAAGTAAGTTTTTCGGTGATCTGACAGTTGGTGTTGTAAGATATTTGCGAACTGATGTGATGTATTGTCTTTTGTTCGTTTGCCTGAAACGGTCTTCTAACGCGATAAAGTCGGAAGAGGCGATGGCGACAAACAAGTTAACAAAATTAATCGCGAACGAGTGAAATGTAAATACTAAACCCCGATGCCTGACTGCTTCTATTCAGGAGCTATTGGGGGTGTCTATTTATCCACTGTCCGTGTATCGTTCGTTTTCCCCCAGTTCGTATCCACTAGAGCGGAACCAGCGCCGTTAGCAGCGGTAACGCGGCGGTAAACTTCATGTCACTCACGTCGTCCATCGTTTGTTTTTGATGGGCTTTTCTTACCAATCTTTTGCTGTTGCCACCTTTTCTGTGAGCTGTCGACACTGTGACGGCCTGCTGGTGACACGGAAAATCAATTTGAGCCCGTTCTTGTCAGAATACGATTATTCGCGCTATAATCTGCATAGATATTTCAATGACTCTATGGTGCTCATGTAGTATAGTACAATGTATCTATATACATATTAGTATGGGTGTATAGGTGCTCTGCTATAATCACATGATATCGTTGTTTGCGTGATATGGTAATGCTATATAGTAGTAGTTTTTGTAAGGTAGGCAACTAGAGTAAGAAATGCGTACGCTACGCCTATTGTATAGGCATTCATCGAGTACATACATACAAATTGTATTCGGAGTCGGATTATTTTGTCAAGCGAAGAAAGTAGTATTTGACGAAGGACCTCCTTCGACAAACATTTTTGCGATGCCTGTGTTGTTTTGTTTGCCGCGCCTTCCATGGATCGTTTTCTTCGCCGAAGAGCTTGCCGATCGCTCTGTGATATCTTATTACTGGGTTTGACAGCAAGAAGTCCTAAACACCTACCCATAATAAAAACAGTAACATTTTTACCAATCGAATGGGCCACCGTTGTGTTTGGCTGAGTGTCTTTGGCGTCCTCTCCGCAGTAACTGCCCCCGTACTAGCAGCAGCGGCAGAGGTGGCCAACCGTCGGACACAGTGCGCATGCCGGGATCAGTAAGGCTGTCAGCGCATAGATTTAGCGCGCAAATTGCTTTTGCTAGCAATGGCTATCAGCAAAGTTCTATCATCTAAACAAGCACCAACAAACCGGCTAAGATTAACGGTCGCATGCGAATGTTCTTTACCATCTGTGTTACCCTCGTTTTCCCATGCGATACTGCTCCTGCTGCTACAGAGCATTGGTTTTTGCCACTTCCGCATCCCGACTTCCATTCATAATAGCACATCAGGTGCCCCCTGTCTCTCTCTCTCTCTCTCTCTCACAGACGCAGCCACGACACTGCCGACATCTGCTTATTACTGTGATTGGTAACGCTGGCTGATTCAGCGAAGGGTTGTACCCTGACCACAGCAGCGGACGTCACAGTGTGGCTAGCGGCAGCCGCAGCAGCAGCAGCAGCAGCAGCAATCACAGTGTTTGTAACTGCACAAGTAGGGGAAGGCCTCGTCGCCATATCACCAGCGACAGTGTTTCGGACTGCACATTATGCACTGTGAACACCCTCTCCCTCGTTCGTGCTTAGGCTCCGCCTTAGCCTCGCTGACCGGGGCCAATGAGGAGCCGCGTAACTGGGGATGTGGGCGGGGCCAATAGGGGACCTGGGGTGCTGAAAAGGGGTTTTTGGGGAGTTTGGGGTCTTTCAAGGGTCTGGACCTGGATCGGGTCATAAACACTAGAGATCAACCCACCAAGGCACCGGTATAGGGTGGGGTGGTTTGAAATTGTTTGAGTTGGTCGGCAACAGCATACGACACAGTGCCCAAATGAAACCACTTAATCATTGTTCTTTTGACAATGTCTAAAGGTCTACTTCAGATAGCTGAGCTCGATCAAAACTCGCTGGTCTGCAGTTGACTGTTAAGAAGTATCATTATAATTGCAGGCACAATCCTTAGTCAAATCACAATAGCATTAACGAGCTTGTCTAACAAGTTGTGCTTCTACACCTATAGTGATGACTATGGTGTGTCGTTTCTATGACGTCGTGTTTCATCACATGTATCATCAAATCCAATTTTCCTAAAATTCTCTCGATTTTTGTCGTTATTTGCTAAAGATAGCATCCGCTGATGCCTCACGAAACGCGCCTGTTTGCCCGTGTTTATAACCTCTGTAATGCATCGAACCAGGCAGCTTCTTTTCATAGCGTATCGAATGAATGAGTTGAATTTAACGTCCAGAAAACAAATGAAAATTTCTTTTAAAGGTGGCGTCGGTTTTTCCCTTTCTTCTTTTAATGCCTCTCCGCGACATTTTCCCTTCGTATGTGCGCCATACGAGCTCAAACTATATAATTTTTAACCGTATAGAAATTAGGTATCAGAGGTGACAGTGTTAATTATCGGCTAGCCACGCCGAGGCACGTGCGCAACAGCTGACTTACGTATGTAAGAAGCAAAGAGCCGGCCTATTTGTACCATGATTTAAGTTTGCAACGAAAAAGCGATGAGTGCAACAAGTCTAGCCCAGAGATCTTCATTCCACCCGCAACGGGAACCACGCAGAACATGGTCATATCCAGCTGCGACGGACAGCCAAACCGCCGAAGAGAGAAAAACATCCACTGGGCTACCTATGTGCGAAACATCCAATATTTTGTGTTCCTATATAGTATTGGTTGCACGCGATAGCCTTAGTTAATTTTTACCTTTTATCTAAGTTAACTGTTGTTGTACTTAATAGTCCGAACGTATTACACCCATATGTTTACAAAAATGTGATAACGTTTCGGGTCACTACGCATCCGTACTTCACACCTATGTTATTGCGGCGATAGCACAGAATTGATCGCGTAACAATCGTTTTGCCGTTGACGGTATATTCAAGCAGCACTGAACGGAATAAAATGCTGGCTAGCGTTAGGAGAGCGACAGGCATTGCAGGTACCGAGATGACTGGCCGTTCCCTCAATGATGACCTAATCGGGCCAGACTGGGCGGGATCGGACCCTATCGATGATTGCCATACTTTCGTAGTCGGTCAACTTGTACTAGGAACTCGCTGCTCTTCATTGACCAATGCAGCAGCTTATGATGCGATCGTTATTTCCGTTGTTGTTGTCATTGTTCTAAGTGTAGCTTGCAGTTCTCGGGTGAATATGATCATATGATCAAGCGAGTAGGCTAACTCATCGAACGATTGATCGAAGACGCAGATTTTCTTTGGCAACCGTCTGGAGCCATTAGGTGACAACTGATGATGATTACTGACAAAACTATAATATTAACGTATCATACGGATTATCTGGGCTGGGGCACATCAATCGCTAGTCAGCCAGACAGCCCTCTAGGGAAGAAAGCCGTTTGTCCCCGTCCAGGGGAACACCTCAGCTCGTGACTTCAGCTACAGCAGTGGCTTCCAGAATCAGTAGGCGCTTGCCTCACCAGCAGCGTCAGCCAACCAATCAGTCAGCCATAAGGCGTCATTCTATCACTTACGGCTGATGGCCCACTTCATGTGTTCGCTTTTATGTTTGCTTTACTATTTGCATCCTCAGTCATCATTTGGCGTTTCATTGGCATTCCGTTTATGTTACTTTACCTCAATTACTTTGGCTCACTTTATCTCATCTTGCCCCTCCTATCTGGGTATTGTCAAGCGCTTCTACCCAAACTATCAGGTTAGCAATAACATTATCATTAGTATCACTGTTGATGACGGCGCCTTTTCCAAGTCATCGTAATATTTACGGCGTAATAATTAATTATATAAATATTAATACTTACTATAGTAAAAAAATATATGCATTTTTTAGCGATTTTTCAATGCGGACGGATTTTCGACTCAAGTATGAGCATCTCATTGCACGTGATCATCAAAAACACTAGCACCAGTAGGATCTTATGGGGCAATCAACATTTACTGCTGCAGTACTTAAACGTCGAATAGCTGGCGTTGTCCTGAGAGATCCAACGACCGAGCCTGCTTTTTGCGTATCGACTTGCCGCTTTGTCTACAGGTGTTCATTTACGTTTAAGTGTATAATTGCATATGCGCAACCGGCCGAACGATGGACATGTCACAACGCAAATGCCACCGTCGTCATAGTCATCAGCAGCTCTCTAACGTTTCCGTCACTCTCCTGGCCGCTGCGGCCGCCTCTAATGTCGCTGAACGAACACGAGCAACAACGACAGGCGCAGTAATCAAAAGAAAAACAGAGTGTTTAC